TCAACAATATTTCCGAGTTTGAATAATTGACTCACTACTCCCCTCCTCGTTTATAGCGGCAATATCAGCCCCGGGGAGAATGGTCGCAATAAAGGGACAACTTCCAACCCCTCCCTTCACCCCTCCCCCCCCCCCACAAAATTCTAGCCCACGACCCATGGAAAAATTCCATTACGGATGGTAATATCCCCTTATTCCGGGCGCAGGGCCAAAACCGATGCAGCTGGAGAAATAACACATTTATGTTCCTGATGCTGCTGTATACGTCATTATTATCGGATAATATTTGAGATTACTATAAAAATAATATTTTGACCGTCGATCCAGTTATTTATTGAACCGAAGCACAAAGGTTCATTGCCACGCCCTTCGTTATTTGAATGGTGGCTACCAGTGCCTGGCACTATTTTTTCCCGAGGGTGAGATGGCACAGTCATATTTTATCATCGATATGAATCGGTTCTCTAATGTTCCTTATTCAATCCGTATATAATTTACAAAATGAAAATTATTAATTTTATCGATGAAACAATATAATAATCGTAACACGTATATAAAACTTTTTTAGGTTTTTATTTAAAATCGGTTTTATTCCGTTGCTACAGAGAGCATTAGCGGATTCAGGATTTAATATTTTTTAGGAGAAGGCTTCCTTTTTTTTCCTATAACGGTGATGACTGATTTTTTTTTTTAAATATTATTAAGTAAAAAATAATTTGCACCATAATATAAAATACTTAAGTAGCATAAATATAAAATAAAATGATACAACCATATTATGTTAAAAATAAAATAATTTAAAAACTATCGAAACCGTAGTGGTTTCAGGATTTAAATTTCTCCTCATAGACTGAAACGACAAGAAACTGCTCGACTTTTACTTCTGCACTTACTGGACAAACGCTCTAAACTTCCAATTAATTACAAAAGACTCATATACATGACTATAATAAGGTCTATTTGGACTTGCGGAGTTGAGCTATGTGGCTCCACTAAACCATCGAATTCCTCTCGTATCAAATCCTTACAATTCGAAATCCTTCGTAAAATCCTCAATACTCCTTACTTTGTTACGAATAAAACCATCCATAATGACCTTAATGTTTCTTATGTTTCAGATTTGGCCAAATCCAGATACCTATCCTTCCATAATAAAGTTCAGAATCATCCCAACCCTCTCGTTTCTAACCTCACTTCCTCTTCAATTCGTGATAACCCTCCGAGGCGTCTGAAAAGAAGATGGCCACGTGATCTCCCAATGTAGACATATTTTTAGAGCACTACCATTGGGTAGTTTCTCAACAAGTGTTTTCACGGCATTATATCCATATGCACAAATTTACTAAATGTATTTCTTTAATACAGTCGTAAATATTATTAAGATATAAACAATTAAAAAAGTTGTCTCCATTTTTCTTTCAGAGGCTCCATTTTCTTTTTATTTTATTTTTTTTTATATAACGGTAATTAGTCTGGAAGGAAATATATGAAAAATGTTTATGTGGTTCTTCAAGACCTGTTAAAAAAAATAGTATTAATTATTATAATGATAAGGTAATTAAAGCAACAGTTATGCTTACATTTTCTTGGCAAATGTCTATATTTATGTAATTTAACATATTTATTTATTTATTTTATTTAAAATTATCACATATTGTTATTGTTTAAGTATTTAGCTCAGGTCATTCACCGATACGAATATGGCCCGATGAAAAAAATTTATATTTTTCTATTTTTAGGAAGGGGGCTCACCATGAAGTCACCCCCCTTCCCCGTGGATCCGCCAATGCCAGAGAGGCGTAGTCTGTTATTGATTTATGCGATTCTCGCTAAACAACACCATACTTTTTTTATACCTTCCTTCTGAATATGTATGTATAAAAATCATGTGAGAAACAACAGCGTGTATCGCTTCAAAGATGAAAATATAATTGAATCCAAGGTTTTATTGATGTGCCTTTATCCAGCAGCGGATCCAGAATTTAATTTCTTTTTGAGGGGGTGGGGTGGTGGTAGTTTTCTTTTTTCTTTTTTTAATTACAATAATTATTCCAGATGAAAAAGAGAAACAAGGACCCATTACTTATCTGAAATGATGTTCAAAAATAAAGTAATACAGCTTTTAGAGATAAATTTCTTATACTTCTTTTTGGTAGGTACTTACACTTAGTATCTGTAAACGCTTTATAATTTTAAAAGAGAATATGTTGTGATTCTTTAAGTACTTAGCTTAGATCACTTACATAAATAAATATGTAGAAAAATATATATTTTCAACTTTGGGGGGGGGGAGGGGCTTCAACCCGAAAACCCATACCCCTCGTCACCAATAGAACCGCCAGTGGCTTTATTCCTGATAATATATTTAACAATTCAAAATAAATATAAAATTTAATTTTTTTTTTCTAGATGCTTATCTAGTGTATGTCGGCACATTTTTTTTTTATATTTTCAACGCTAGATAGAAGCGCGGAAGCCCGACATCTACACACTCAGATAGGGATATCACGTAACGGAAGTGACGTACGCTATTAGTCTTGCATAAATGATCGAAATACCAAGAGGTGCCACACACAACGGTCGACCACTCAGTACAACGTACGCTCATCAATTAATTATTTCTGCTCAGGTATTTGTTCCATAAACCTGGGCCAAAATCATTCGATGTACTTTATCTAATGGAAATTTGTAAATAAATAATACGGGTTATTTTCATAAAATAAAGACAAAAAATAATTCAAATCACGCATTTAAAAATTTTTTTTTTTTTTTTTGTTAGCTTTACAGATCTTGTAGATATTTTTCCACCTTAATCAGCCTTCTCCATTTCTATGATTTCTGCATACAACTCTACATCATCTTCGTTGACTCCATCTATCCATCTGCTCTTTGGCTTTCCAAGCGGTCTTTGCCCCTTATGTAGAGACTTCCCGATGAATTTAAAGGCCCCGCCCTTCTTAACTTCCTTGCTTCCATTGATATTGATTGACCAGTTTCTGTAAGCAGTTCTTTATTGGTCCTTCTAATAGCGTCTAAAGTGTTTATTTCTAGCTTCGACAGCTTCTTTTAAGAGCTGCTGAATGGTAATACAAACTTTGAAATGACAAGAAAACATTTTGTGCACTGTCTGTTTAAAAAAAGGTATTGAACTTCATTTTTTTAATCATATAATTATGATAGTATAATTATAAATCGTGGAATTAAATTGTAGCAGTTTTTCATGAAAGAACTAAAATCATTATTACGGTAAAAATTGGAATTAAAAATATCTGAATTCCTCCTCCTCTTGGATAAATTTATATTTAATGAGGTTATAGCGTACGTCAAGAACTATGAAAAATTCATACAAACAATGTTCCTATTTTCCGGATAAAAGTATAAAATGTTAGCATCGTGTTTTGTTAAATAAGTCACGTTTTTAATTAAGGGAATTTACTATTGAATGATAATTAATTTGACAAAAACTACTTTAAATGGAAGTTGAATTTGTATTTGTTAAAACCATTTAAAGAGGACTTTTAAGCGTCTCGATTATGCTAAGTTGTATTTTTCATAAAAATCGTTGATTATTCGTTGATTATTATTTTTTTTTTTATCACCTCCCTACTTCCCTACTTTTAGAACAAAATCCTTGTTTAATAAGCTTTAAGTTCAAATAATTTAAGTTGAGTTTTGTTATGGGATATGTGGAGATTCGTCTCTGTTAATGTAGAAAACGATGTGATTCTATATTATGTTACCCCAAAGTATCTGCGTTTTTAGCGAAATAAATCCCCTAATTTATTAAAAAGCTTTAATTTCTTTATTTTTTTCCCCTATGATTTGGGATGTATTGCAGTAAATTGATTAATTTTACGATCATCGTTTATAGAATGTAATCTAAAACAATATTCCGTCTTTTTTTTTTTACGTTTGAAAGAGATAACTTTTAGCCATAAGGGGTATTCTGTAATTTCCTATCCTAGTTAAAATAGATGGTCTTTCAATACTATTAATTGTTTAGGAAATGTTTGTGAGCTTGCTGTCAATATGTTTTTGTCAGTAAAAGTAGCCAGAGTGGAGCATTGGATAGAGTGGCTATGCCGTAATGACAAAGTTCTCCCGAAGTTAGGGCGGTAACTATCTATGCAATTAGTGTTTCAAGTCCGGATAGGACGCCGCAGCATATTGATCCTCCAGCCCCTCTCATGTCGTTAGTCAAAAATCATCTTGTCTAGCCAGCGGGTCTGTGTCTTGCTAGGGGTGACACGTCTAGACAACATAAATTTACTAAATATCCTATCTTACCGCAGTTAAAAAAAAAAAATCAATTTACTTGTCCGTATATCGGATTGTTCTGGAAATAAGACAGCATTTCATGTTTTCTTTATATCAACACTTCATATAACAAACTGCTTTATCTTCAGGTAGTATTCTTTTGTTTGGGTCTCAATACTGATTAATCCTCTTACAAACAAAAATGTTTTTTAAATCTTCTCTACTGTGAATCTCCTCTCTGAACACTATTATAAATGTCCTTAATTGTGACAGATTGCAATATATCTGAATAAATAAGTTAAAAAAAAAAAATCTTCTCTAGCATATTACTATTTGTCAAATACATCAAATTAGAGAGACTTACTAGGGTAATCTGTAATATTGTTCTCAGCACATTATGGCAAAAATATTAAAATCGTGCAGAAACGTCAGCTTTTAGCTAATAAAAATATATTAAAGTTTTCTTTTCAAACCGCTATTTACTGGCGTTCTAAAATATTTATATAGTTCTTAAATTTAACAGAGTCGGCTGGCGGTCACTTCTAAAAATATGAAGGAGAAAAACCAATAAATTACTTTTAGCCAAGTTGTTAATCAGCCTTCCGCGATATTTTAAACGTCTATGGATGCCACGTGGTGTAGACCAATAACAAAATGGATTGAGCTCAATGAAAAAAAAAAAATATGCATGAAAATTTTGTGATTAGGTGTTCTCGTTAAGAAATTTGACGAGTTATTGTCGCTAGATAACTTGCTGTAGTTTTCTTCATTTAAAAATGTAACACATAAACGACATTGTGTTGAGACATTTCACAAACTATTGAAAACACAATTATTTACGTTAAATAATAGCGACATTAGTGCTAAGCCCAAACTTTTTTTTTTTATTTCTCTTGTTACCGACAGCAAATGGAGAATATCAAAAACAGTATAGGAAAATATAGGAAAACAACCATAAATATTTTGTTTCTCCGTGGTTTGTGAAATGTATAAACACACATTTAGATATTATTATGGTTGGGAAGTCAATTGGGTTTGCAGTCACAGTGAAAAAGACTAATAATTTATTTTTTTCTAAAAAAAAGATCTTCTTAACCATATTATCTCCATTGAACTATTTCTTCACCATTAGATATTATTAGTTGAAAAACTGAGACTTCTTCTAATATCTTAAATGTTGACTGAGGACATGAGATTTTTTTTTGTTGTTGTTATTTTACGTTTACAGCAGTATATAACTTTTACATCGTCACGGAATATGATGATCATCCAAACTTAAAATAAACTGTAGTTTCAGTCCGACAAGTTCGGAACGAATATTCTAGTCAAACATGTTTATTAAAACTATTCGAATTCCGTTTTAACCTTTGCAAATGTTTTCCTTAAACTAGACTCAGATTAGATTGGCAGAATTAAAAAAGGCAACAAAACAAATCTTTATATTACATTAATTCGGTTTCCTTTTGTAATTGGTATCTTGGCTCCTATTGTAGATTCGCTAATTAGTTTTTGGCAGTGATCCTATAAACATTTTGTGCTATATGGACCTTCTTGAAACTCTTTCAAACACCCTAGTTATTTTTTTTGTATAATTTCGGGAAAACTTTTTTGACTTATGATGGGAATTATCGGATGGTTCTCATTGGCAAAGCGGACAAATCAATGAATCTGGTATTGAAATTTCATAACAGCTGTCATTAAAATGTAATTTCTGATGGAGGCTAATATTTGATGTTTCATAAATTTTACTACAGTCGTAAACCTGTGACTTCTTGTCCTACGGTATCCCTCGATACACAATATATTCCAATCATCTCTTTTGAACAAATCTGCTTCCCAGAACTCCGTTTGGACAAACGTCTTATTTGAAATCAAGGCTTAAACGACAATAAACTGCTTGACGTTTCCGTCTCCTCCAACACTTATATTGACTCGGCTTTTAATTAATTATTAAAGGTTCATTTACATTACTATAATAGGCACTACACGGACTTGCGGAGTTGAGGTTTAATTCTCTACCAAACCATCGAATTCCTATAGTTTCCAATCCTTGGAATCCGAACTTCGTAAAATCCTTACTGCTCTATATTTTGTCACATATAAAGTCATTCATAAAGACCTTAATGTTTCATGTGTCGCTGATTTGGCTCGGTTCAAATATCTATATTTTTATGATAGACTTCAAACCCATTCGAACCCACTTGTGTCCAGCCCTGTTTCTTCCTGACAATCCTCCTAGGCGTCTGTAAAGAAGATAGCATCAGGATCTTCTTACTTAAAACTATTTAGGAAATGCTATGATTGGATGGTATCTATACAAGTCTGTTCGTGTTATTATTGCTCATTTTTTTCCCATTTACTGGTTGTATTTATTTAATGAAATTGTAAATTACAATAAATAAATAAAAATCTTATTTAATTGTAATTAACAATTTTTTTTTCTTTGCTTTTGTAGTTGATATGTATGATGTGGCTTGCCGTTTTACTGGCGATGCACGTTGGTGTTTCCTGTTCTCACAATTGCTGACCGTGTGAAAACTCACGATGTGCAATCCGGAAGCGGCAAAGGATGATTTCCTCCTGCCTTGATTTTCGGTTTGATGTGTTCCACGGGATACAATCCTATTTGATTTCTTTTTCTTAGCGCTGCTGTTGACCCAGTTCTCACCTTTTTTTCCAACCTTATCCTGGTCTCGATTTATTCCATTCATTCCATTCATGCCGCAATGTGGTGTGACATTGATTGCTATTTTATCTTAATCTTCCTTGCTTATCTCTTAGCGATAATCGTTTATTTATCAGATTAGTGAATGACTAACAGTAGGTTTTTGTATCTTTATAACAGTATTAAGAGAGGACATAATTGGTAATTGGTTGACTGTCGTGGATAATGAAGAGAAGAATAGTTGGGGTGGTCAGTCAAAAAGGAAGGCAAAAATAAATGATAATATTTATTTTTTACATATGCCGACGTTTCGACCTGAAGTTCAGGCCTTCATCAAGGCTAAGAAAATAACCAGATAACAAGGTATGAGAAACATAAGTAATGATGGTGAAAAAGATAATAAAAAATAAAGAAATAAAATAAAAAAATTAGAAAAATAAAATAGATAAATATAAAGTAAAATGAAATTGTTAGAATAATGACTAAGAACTAAGATATAAATAATAAAAACCGTTACAAAGTGTGGAATGATGAAGTAGGCATAATCAAAAAGGGTGACAAAAGTGTTACAATGGGAATCTTAGAATAAAATGTAAAACATAAAAAAGAAATATGAAGTTATATAAGAAATGAAAATAAATAGTAAAATTAAAACATTGAGAATGGAGTAGTTGGATAGAAAATTGAGATATTGTAAAGATGTACAGACAATGTATAATATAATAAAGAGTTAAAAACAGAGAAAAGGAATGAAAGGAAGGAGGGAAGAAATTGAGAAAGCTGAAATAAGAAAGAAATAAAAGAAGTACTACCTGTCTCCTTAAGTGTCGCAGGGAGAATAAAAGTCGTTACAAGGGAGGGGGAGAGAGAAGAGATGTGTAGCTGGCGTCATCTCTAACGGTTATCCGACGAAGTTTGAACTAAAACGCTGGAAGCGTAAATAGGCACGAGAGATATATTACTCAGAAAAATTATGGAAAATTGAACGAAAGTTAATAGAAAGTGAAAGAAAAATTCAAAAGAAAAATAACTATTGAGTAATAAGGGAGAAAAATTGAAATAAAAATATATCATATAACATATATATATATATACACACATACATATATACACACACACACAAATGTATACATATACACACACACACGCACACACACACACACACACATATATATATATATATATATATATATATATATATATATATATATATATATATATATATAAGCTGTCAGCAAAAAGGAAAGGAATATAGCTATGGATGTTTTAATAAATTCAGAATTTGGGAACTTCTCATACCTTGTTATCTGGTTATTTTCTTAGCCCTGATGAAGGCCTGAACTTCAGGTCAAAACGTCGGCATACGTAAAAAATAAATATTATCATTTATTTTTGCCTTCCTTTTTGACTGACCACCCCAACTATTCTTCTCTTCATTAAGAGAGGACCATTGATGACTCTCGGGTTTAAGCGAAACAAGGCCCCTGGAAGTTTATTATATCTGTTCATCCTCCAAATTCTTATAATCGACTATCCAACAATATAGCTTGTTTTTTAAAACTACATTTTATTTATAAACTGCCAGAAATGGTCTTGTTTTTATTTGAGTATTAAAGTCTGCTCGGATGTAGCGGACAGAGATTTATCTGCGCGGATCTTGGTACGACTCCAAAACGGGACAGCGTTGTCTGTGCGGTCATAGAAATAGAATTAATTGCATACCAAGAAAAATAACAAATTTTTGTCTGAATTTTCAGAATTACAAATTAATAAAGTTTCATTTTTTTTTTTTTGTTGATGTGTGCGTTTAAGTATAGGTAGTTTCTATCATTATAAATGTGTCCTGATTTGCGTACTCATAAGAGCTTTTTAATGGCCTTCTCTTGGTATCTCTGGTCTAAATAATCATTTAAATTGGTTAGAAACTTATTTGTTTGTTACACTCAGTGAGGAAATATAAATAAAAAATTTAAAAATATATTTTATTTTGTACCGACGTTTTAGCTAGTTAATCATAGTAATCAATTAATTTGAATTATAATAATAAAAACTATATCACAGAACTGTTGAAAACGACATCAGTACTCCAATTCCAACCTTTAAATCAAAATACGAGGATGAATAACCGAGAACTGGCTGATTTCACTTATTTTAGTGTATCCGTTTGTAACGGATTATTTTTTATATTGTAACTGATTATATTATGTTGTAACTGATAGTCCAATGATCGAGCAAAAATAAACGGATATGCAAAAAAAAAGTATTCTAATAACAATTTTTAGCAAACCGTGTTTTTTTTTCTTTTCATGCCACAATGTACAAATCCCTAGCATCGAATTATCTTCTTATTCAGGCTTTATTAAATCATTGTTTTGCATAGAACAACTATTTAAATAATTTCAAATATTATTGTTAGTTAAAAAAAAAAAAAAAGACGGCGTAAAACCATATTGTGAAAATTGAGTAATTAGTTTATGTGAAATTTAATATTATATTTTTGTACAATTAAATTAAATTTAAAAAGCTATATTTTGTGAAAAGATATGCTAGTTATTCCAATTTTTCTTGGCAGTGAAGAAAATTTGTTTCTCTAAAAACAATATTCAAAAACCTGTTATTTCCATAACCGGTTTCTTTCCAATAACTGCCATTCTTACTTTAAAGCCTCTTTATATCCCAACTACGTTTTCCTATTATACTAATCAAAATTACAAAAACAAATCTTGCTTACTATTAGACTTCTATTGTATATAATTGTAATTTCTAATTTACGTAATGGTTCACTTAAACAATTAGAATTAAAGTTCCGTATGCATTTTCTAAACGAATTGATATGATGTGCAAACTTTACATGATATAGATACTTTAGTTTCATTTTAATTACAATGTAACTTTTAAAGTGTAAAAATGAATGCATCTGATGGGTTTCGTTATTTGAAGTAATTAATTGATTCCGCTAATTTCATATTCATATGATTTCTTTTTTTTATAGAGTATTGCTCACGTTCGTATACTTGTATCTATCATATAAATACTTTGATAAGTAGTTAAATAAATTAGAATAAAATGAAGATTTATTTTTCAGCTTACCAGAATTATAATAATACGTTTGGGTGATTGACGCGTGTGGCCGCTTACCTTGAAGCTCTAGTTCAGTCTGCTTCCTGAATCCATCATTCCATCACCCGTTCTCAGGAGACCCATTAACCAAAGTATATTTCAACACTATTGGAACAAACTGAGGTACGTGTATCAAACAGTCTTCGAAAGTATTATATGTATATAACCATTTAATGGTTTCTCAACTTGACATTCAAAATATAAGTAGATCTTAAAAAAAGAAAAAAAAAAAAGATCTGTAGCGATGCGGATATTACACAATCTTCACTTACCACTTAAGAATATTAGTATAATAATAAATATAAACCAACGACAACTGCAAAATACAATAAGTTTCCATGTTTTTTTCTATTCAAAATGTAAATAATAATAATAATGAGGCTTAGCGACCCTAAGGTTTGATAGGCGGTGGGTCTGTTTTAGTAAACATTTTCGATTTTGGTTTCATTCTACTACTCTCAAGCACGTTATTTCAATTTTGTAAATATATTTTTTTTTTTAAGCTAGGTCGTTGACATACACAAACACGTTTTGAGAGACGTTATTCCGACTACATAAATTATTTAATTTATTTTAAATAAGTTTTGCGGTTTAATCTAGACACAGATGAACAATAGGAACTAGTGCTATATATACTATTCACAACAAATGAGAATCACCATTATTTTTTTTTTAAAAAACTGGAGCTCATTATCCTTTATATAAAAAAGTTAAACTTACATTGAAAGTTCAGTAACAATTTTTTTTCTGGTGTAAGTTTTTTAAAATAATCCTTGGAACAAGCCTTAGGCAAATCTTTCAATCCTGTACCATTAGGTGTTTCATGTACATTATTCTAATTGCGTCATTCAACGTCATCGTTCCACATTACTCAGAACTCCATTAAAAAGTACTAATAATTGATGTATTTTTTTACTATAATCGTTCGGTTAATCATTTTTTTAAACTCTTACCAAAAACCGAATATATATTTTTTTTATCTTTAAATGATAATCAAAATCTGACCTGCTGATCTCAAAAAATTATAAACTTTAATAAATCTGAAAATTAAACGTCATTAACTTTACAATATTAATGTTCAGACCCGATGACTCATTGTTATTGTTAAAAAAAATAATCTTTTAACTAACTCTAGACTTATGTAAGAAAACTGCACCACGGATGAAAAATTTTTACAATTACCAACCTTCCAGTGTAATTATAATCATTCCGTATGTCATTTATCCGAAATATGTTCACAAAATTGAATTGAAATTGACTTTTCATCGCGCCCGATTTGAACCTCGTATCTTCAAATAAGAATGAAACAGTAGACGAGAGCTGGTACTGGAAAGGTCCACCTGGTCCAAGCTCTACAAGAAGCAACCTCACACTGCATAGGCGGTAAAGAGGAATATGATTATGATGATGATGATCTTCAAATAAGTCGGATTTGTGTCTGCCGCATTTATTAATGTTTGATTTTTAATGGATCATAATCCTAGGTTGAACTTCTGGCCCTACAGTACCCTTCTATAGTAATCCACTTATCCCTGTTGAATAGATCCGCTACCTTCCACTTTAATCCAATCAATGATTGTTCAAAAAGGGGGCAAAGAAGGAAAGCAATTTTTGACATTTGGAAATAGTTTTTCTGATACAAGCCAAAACAAAAAAATATATCAATAAACATGAGATCAACATTTTTTTTCTTCCAAATTAGTTGAGGACGGATATCTCGGAAAATAACTCGGAAGCGAGGTAGCGACGAAAAAATATATAATAAATCATGTTGCAATTTTGTATAAAACGTCTTTGTCTATGCGATGGATAGTTTTCCTGATATAAGCCAAAACCCGAAAAAATTGTACATCTGGCTCACGACTTAGAAGTGGGAACTTTTTGTATGTTTACCTCCTTACTAGTCCACCTCCACCAAACCATCGAAGTCCTATTCATAAAGACCTTAATGTTGTATGTATCACTTTTATATATATATATATATATATATATATATATATATATATATATATATATATATATATATATATAATCCAGACGCTCCCTAACCCACTGTTTCCAACCTTTCTTTCTCCTTGATTCCTGATAATCCTCCTAGGCGTGTGAAAAGAATACACCCTCAGGATCTTTTGACTTAAAACTATTTAGGGAGTGTTACCATTGTATCTTGGCAAGTCTACCCTTATCATTATTGTTGGTTGTTTACGTTTACCAGTTGTTTTTTGTTTAGTTTTTTACATTTATTTAGTACAGTTGTAAATTTCTGTAAATAAAAATACAAATTTAATAAGAAAGCTAAAACCATAAAAAACAAAGTCTAAAGTATTTCAAATACCAGTTTGGTGGGATGTTTTGTAGATTTGAGTTGTCTTTAGTTGATGGGTCCTTTGTATATTGTCACAGGCGGATCTAAGGGGGGGGGGGAAGAGACTTTGTGGCTAAAGCCCTCCATCAAAATGATAAAATGTTTTATGGTATAAAATATTAAAAAATTATCTCTTAAAGTATTATTGTTCGTGTAATTACCTTTAATAGGACTTCAAGAATCATTTAAACACATAGGTAGTTATATCATTTCATATTGCTAGCTAGTATCTTTCTTTTTTATCTAAAGTATTTATCGGTATATTTATGAAAAAAAAAAAAAAGCTTTAGGGCTGGATCCGCTAGTGTATATTGCTGATGTGAGATATGCGGTTTTTGTTCTAGATTTATGTTTGTATTTTTCTTTACTGATTATTCATTGGCGGAACGTTGGATGTTTAATTCTTTTACCAATATTTGATACAGGTGGGTCTACAGGGAAGGTAGGTCATGCTTTAACTCCTCTTCCCTCCCCCCAACAAAAAAAAAAAATTATATAATGTAACCGTGTCTTATGAAAAACATTTTCTCTAAAAGTATTATTGTTCTTGTAATTACATTTAAGAGGACTTCAAGAATCACTTAAACGCCGTTTCATATAGGTAGATTGTTTTCTTTATTTCTCTTCAACAAGTAAATAAATTCTTAATCCGCTATTGGTATTCGAGAGACATCGGTTTTGGGGTATTTCGAATATTACTATTCTTTCATGAATAATAATATGGTTCCTTCATCAAATTCAGCAATCGAGCTGGTTCCTTAGGCCTATTCGCTTAGCTGATCAAACAGCCACTAATTATTCCAGTACATAGGCGCCATTGTAAAGGGGATAGTAATGACTAGGGCAATATTTGATGATGACACCCGTTCATTGAGGAGCCCTAGGACACAGGGGGGCGTTTGGGGGGGGATAGGTCGGGGGGGCAGGGCAATATGAGCTCGTTTGATTATCGGGTGTAAGGTAAATAAGCTGCTCTGTATTAGCCAGCAACTACCAACGTGATTAATCCACGCTAGAGTAGAGTACCTTATATCACTATCCGACTCAACTCGCTATTAGTCAACACAATATATGCAATACAGTTTCTCTAAAACATAAATTTAACTGTAATTCGACCATAAGCAGGATGAACAGTTCTATACTTTTTTTTTAATGATGTTTAATACAATCTACCACACTTAAGAGTAGTGTTGCCCAAATGCGAGACCGAGACGAGTCTTGGTCTTGCAAACTCAGTCTTGGTCATGGTCTTGGTCTTCAAGAGTCTTGAAGTTACTTATTAGCTTATTACTATAGAGATATTACTGTATTTTTTTAGATAGGAGGAACCTAAGTAAGCCCGAATGAAAAATTAGAGGAGTTAAATGCAAAAGTATATTGGCTATACCAATTATTAACATATATTAACATGGCCATACTGTTCCATTAATCATACAGATGGAACGGTCGTCGTAACCCGAATACACTTAAATAATTATTTCTCAACCTATATCTGGGTTCTGTTGCCCATTCTGATCCCCAGCCAAAGAAATTGAAATCATACAATTTAGTTATAATCGAAATTTATAGCTGATTATAAATTAAATAATAGAACAACGAATTGTCAGGGAGAATATATAACAGAATACCCCTGAAGCCCGTGTAAAATAAAAATGATTTTATAAAAAGTCGTTTTTTGGGATTCCATTTTCAGGGATTTAATTTTTTTTGGTATAAATATATTTATTGAAATTGAAAGCCAGTTTAACTAAAAACAAAACAATTAAATAATAGTAAATTAGTAGGACTCAAATAGTAGTTCTATATTAGAAGGTTTCGACACCATCTGCTCTTTAGTATTACCCAAATGCAAGACCGAGACGAGTCTTGGTCTTGCAAACTCAGTCTTGGTCATGGTCTTGTTCTTGCGCAAGAGTCTCGCAACAGTCTTGCAGTTACTTATTAGCTTATTAATGAAGAGATATTACTGTAATTTTTTAGATAGGAGAAACCTAAGCCCGAATGAAAAATTAGAGGAGTTAAATGCAAAAGTATATTGGTTATACCAATTGTTAACATACAGTAACAAAGATTGTCAAGTATTAGTAACTATTTTGCCTTAATTTTTATTTAAAAAATCGATTTTTTTTACCAGTCCTGTTCTTGGTCTTGCAAAAGTTAGGCGGCCTTGGTCTTTTTTTGGGAGACACTGCTTAAGAGGGATATGTATTAAGATGAGTCTACAAAAAAATTACCTTTTTTTTTAACATTTTTTATACATATATAAACATTTTTTATACAACATATATATATATATATATATATCAGCAGATAAAAATAAAACAAAATTTATGAATGAAATCTAAGTGCTATAGTGCATCTAAGGTATGTTTAAGTGTAGGGGAAGAAAGCTCGCGCAGCTTTCCCCCACTCCACTTCTCCAAGATCTCTCTCCAGTTGCACTTCCCCTCTTCACCATAGCAACCACCTTATACCGGTAAAGAGGTATTCCATTTTCTTTAAATTTCGTTCAACTGTTTATTAAAGGTAGGGATTTCAATTAAAAAATAAAATAAATCAATGAAAAGGATGGTTAAATAATCAAATTGAGAAAACTATATATATATATATATATATATATATATATATATATATATCTGTTGATCTAAATTTACCAAGAAATAGCTCCTAAAAAAAAATCAATAAATCGATGGAAAATATAGAAAAGAATCCGATACTACGTTATCGGGTATTCAATAATGGGGATGAGCTTTGTTCA